TAATCTAAACAATGTAGAAATTAAAAATTAAGAGGACAGTGGGATTTTGAAATCTCATAATTGAGCTACTTATATTATTGTCGATCTTGCATTGAGTAAACAAGTATGAAAAAAACTAACAGTACCATGTTTCTAACTCCATGGGAACAAAAAAAAACTCGGTAATTTTTTTCAGAAATGCTTTGATAGTGATTTTAGTAAAATCAACAATAATACAAAGTCTTATAATATGAGATAAAATTTGGTAGTTTCATCTGGATATCTTACAGCATGGCATAAAAACCATTGGTTAAATTTACTTTTCAGTTTTGTAATTTTTTACTAAATGTTGGTTATGAGAACGATTATTTTAAAAACCAGAATTTCTGGTAAACTGTTACCATAGCAAACGGTAAAATTACTAAATGAATGGTTTAAATGCCGCATATTTTGTTTTCATTACCAGAATTATAGTTTCTTTTACCTGAAATGTCTAATGTAATTTTGACCGAATTTTTTAATCCGTGTAGAAATATTTTTGTGTAAACTGGAAGCATTTAAAGATCTTTCAATGCAAAGTTTGAAAAATTAATGAAAATTTAACGAGATATTAATTATTGCAATTATTTGATTACACGTAATTAATGTCTCTTGCATAAATAATTAAAATAATTATAAAATAATTTTAATTTTAAATAATTTTAGTTTTAAATAATTTTAATTTTAAATAATTTTAGTTTTAAATAATTTTAATTTTAAATTTTTTTGCCACACATAAAGACTTAGGACAAATGTTTCCCGAAAAGATTTCAACAATTATAATTTAGTATGTTTCCCATTATAGATTTCAATACTAAAAAAATTCACATGAAATTTCTGAAGCATAAAAATATTAAAAGGGAAATTTGATAGTGAAGAATTCAATAATAGAATTGAATTCTAATAACACTCTTCAAAATATTTTTCGCTTCAAAAATAAGTAAAAAAATGCATTCACTTTTACTGGTCGAGTTTAATAATGAAGAGTTTAAAGCTATCTGAAAGATTAGTAAAATCATTTTCTTATTTAACTCTTTAAAACCCTTTTCACATAAAAAAGGGAGTCAATAACTTGAAGATTAACAATATAAGTTATTGTTTTATTTCTTTCGCATAAACGTAAAGCCAACCTAATCTTTCATAGATAAGAAACAAAGTATAATTATTTATCAAACTCAACAACTTGCATAATAAGCATTATATCTGTAAAACCGTCAACAATTACATTTGACTAATCTTCCCTTTCCAACTGAACTTTTCGTATGTAGATTTAATGACTAATCAGATGAATACAGATATCTATTTTTAAAATTCTGATTCATTTGGCATTAAAATGTAAGTTTTAATGATTGCTTAAATGTAGAATTCAGTGACATAAGATCGAAGCAATAACTCTATCTCATATTCCAAAAATATTTTTAATATGAGTACAGTATTCCAAATTTAGTGACACGAGATCCAGGTGTAATTAAAATATAATTTTCCGTACTACAATTTTTTTTTCAAAAATGTATTTATAATTGAAAACGATTTTATGTAAGCAATACCTCTATCTCATATTCCAAAAATAATTTTAATATGACTACAGTATGCAAAATAAAAAAACAAAATACCTGAGTAGTTTTTTTTTTTTAAATTTCATAATCTGATTTTCACATGCAATATTACTGGTATTTTATATCGCATGTAGTGGTACTTTATACCGCATGTAGTATTTTATGCCTGCAATATTACTGGTATTATAGTATTATCGTATTTTCTCCCCACTGCGCAGTTTTTGTTTGTTACGTAGGACTACTAAATTTATTCGTGCATATGCCTTTCTTCTTCTGGGAGGTGTTGATTAAACTCTGCTCTGTAGAAGAAAACCCATCCCGGTCAAGGAAAAATATTTTAAGTTTTGGATGGACATCTTATTATTATCACTTTTAACTGATAACTTTCAGAGCTCAATTTATTGTAGCAAATTGAGTACACTCCTTTTGAAATAATTGGCAGAATATTTGCATTTATGCCCATTTCAGTTCAAAATTTTATTTTTAAGAGATCAAAAAGAGATAAAAAGTGCAATATATTGATCATAATATAAATAGGTTTAGCATATTCTGGTAAGGAAAAAAATATATAATTTAGCAAATAATTACATTAATAAAAACTTGTTCTACTACGATTTGCCTTTAAGATAGATTCATACTGACAATTTATAATTAAATCTATGAATTAATTATCAAACAATTAACAATTGCACACCAATGATATTTAAAAATAATATTTTATTTAGCCTGCAATATCCGAGTATAACAATTTTTAAATGATTAAAATTTAATTTAGTAAGACCTGCAACCTTTTTCTAATGTTGATACTACAAAAATTTAAAAAATTAAAAAAAACTGTAGAGAAATTTTGTTTGAAATTTTGAAAATTGAGTTGCAAAGTGTTCACAGTTAGGTAGAAATCAACAAATTCGTATCGAGCACAAATTCAGTATTTCATTATTTCCAGAAACTCCTTAAAGTTAATATTTTTAGAAACCAATTTTTATTTCATGAAGAGCATAAAAATGCTTTTTCAATAGTAAAACATGCTTTTCAGAAAAATTTTAAAAATTTATGTAACGTTTAATAAAGTAATATGTAATTTTGAAACGTTAGAAAAATTTGAAACTTTTTAAAAAGTTCTATTGCTTCTAAATCACTGAAACAATATCAATACATAACATGAAAAAAATAATAATTCTGCACTTAAGAACTCAACCGAACGCATGTGCCGCAACCAAATGCATTTTTTGTTGACAAATAGCAACAGATGTTGTATTTCCGTCACCGTCAACACATCTCATGACTGAAATTAAACTATCTGTCTTGTTTACAGTTGAGATAAGAAAAGAAAAACTCTGAACACAACAACGTCGCGGGCTATTAAATTAACTAGCATTTATTTAGATAATTTAATTTTAGGACTTATACAAATTATTTTTAAATTTGGGATGTATATTTGAAATTATCCCATCAAAAAAGCTACTCTTTAAAATGTTAAAAAGAGTGTTTCGGTTGAAAAATACCGAAGGTTAACTCATTGATATACGTATAAACAGAGTAAGAAAGAAATCTAAAAACTCACAAATTATACAAAATTATGTTTTTTTTTTTTTTTTTTTTTTTTTTTTTTTTTTTTTTNCCAGCTTTTTTTTTTTTTTTTTTTAAATTTGAGTTTTTGAAAGACTTATGTACTTCTCTAGACTGATCATTACAATTTCCAAACTTCTATCGCCTATTTCAGAACATCAATATTCAACTATTTATTTATCAACTACTTATTTATCAACATTCTGCTATTTATGTTCATCTGATTCCAGGAAATATCATCTTGTGAAATTTTATTTTGTTATGCTATGTTAAGCTATGGTATTTATATTGTGTTATGTTAGCGAAGACTCGTTACGTTATGTTCCGTTACGTTATGTTTACTACTAAAACAGAGAAACGCAAAGAAATAAGGTTCCATCTAAGGTTTACAGTAACGAAAATAGTAAACTTTTATCACTTTACAGCAAAAAAAGCCTTTGTTGAGAAAAAATATTTTGTTTTTCAAACACAAATCTCGTCATAAGTCAAAAAATATCATTAGTAATTTAATAAACGTATTTTATTTATAGCATAAAATGATAATTCTCTTTAATATTTAGAAATGTTCTTAAAAGCTAATAATGCAGCACACACTACGTATTTTTTTGTTCTTTATAAAAATTACAACAAGTTTTCAATGTAATTTATATACTACTTCAAATTTTACACAACTCGTGAAATAATAAAGTAGAAAATAAAAGTTCTTACAGGGACATAGTTCGTAGCAGAAACGTGAAGATAACCAGCCCTCCTTTTTTTACCTTTTTTTTTCAATCCAATTCAGGAGGGGGAGGATAATAGGGACTGAAAATAATATTTAAAGAAAAAATATTTTATAACATAGGTTTGAAATAATCCTCATATAACTTTCAAATTTAAAATGGTAGCTAAATCAAGAATTTGTCCATTACAAATAATCATTGATTTGTCTTTTTTTAAAACTTTGCCATTCGTATTGACTTATGATAGATTCACAATTACTACTTCAGCTAGTTTTCTTTTTTTTTTTTTTTTTTTTTTTTTTTTTTTTTTTTTTTTTTTTTTTTTTTTTTTTNTTTCTTTTTTTTTTTTTCTTTTTTTTTGCTCAGGGGATGAAGCGCTCACTTTCCAATGAGGTGAACGGGGTTCGAATCACGGCTATGGCTGGTCGTTACGAATTACACACCCGGCTCACACCAACCTCAGTGCCGTCGTAAAATATCCTCAATGGCAGACGGATCATGCGTTAGAGTCCCCTTGCCACCTGGCTAACCGTGAGAAGTTTTCATGGTTTTCATCTCCATGTAACGAAAATACGGGTTAGTTCAATCAAAAAGTTCTCCACGTAGGCAAATTTCTCCCAAAACTTGATCCAAGAGTTCTCGCGTCTTCTAGATTGGGTTCAAAATTACAAGGCAACGGACTTGAACATTGGTAGACGTAAGCTCAAAATTGGGTCGACTGTTCAACGACGGTTATAAAAATGACATTAAAGATTATCAGTTAGGAAAAGTGCGTTCTTAAATTTATTTATAGTAATATTCAGGTGAATTTTTAAAAAATCATTTTATAATATCTGATGTAAAACTATATATCGATTAATAAACCAATGGTAATAATTGCCTTAATAAACTAACTACAAATCTAAGTAAGGACGCACCTCTGCGATTACGCAAGTAACAATTTTTGACCTCCGTTTAAAAGACTATCGACCGTTAAAAAGACTATCTCCGTTTATAGACTATGTACGATGTACACAAAAAAAAAATGTTTTTTTTTATCATTCCCGTGCTTTGCAATGACGTTCATCCCCCCCTTCCATTTCTAGAATGAATAACTTTCAATGAAATGTTGATAAGATGGAATAAAAAATCATTTTCTATTTCGAAGCCGGAATAGCATCTTCACTGAAAAAAATACTTTCATCCGTTATAAGGAAATAATGAGGAGTGAGTGTTGTGAATTATGGCGTTTTCTCTGTTTCGGAATTTTTGGGGAGCCTCAGTCGGGTAAGACTTTGAACAAATAAATAAATGGAAAAGATTAGTCTTACTTTCTTATTTGAAATAGTCATCCTCTTTTAGGAAAGATAATAAAAATTGGATCCTAGTAGAACAAGTACTTAATTAATGAATTTATTTAGATAATCTTACGCATTTTCTGTTAATTTGAAAATAGTTTTAAAATTTATTTATTTTTTTGTTTATTTATTTTTTTTATTTATTTATTTTCTTATTCATTTATTTATACAGCACACATTCATGATATAATAACAAGTATTGTGTACAGAACTATTTTAATGGCTATTTTAAGGAATAACTACGCAACATTTTCAAGCAGAAAAAAATATTTAAGTATTCCATAGTTACTTCGAATATATTTCATAACGATAGATTAGATAGATTTAGAGCAACGATAGATTTAGAACATCGAACGATTTCATGTTTAGCTTTACATCATTTTTACTCCATTACAACTCTGTTATTGACTTTGTATTAATCCGAATTATCTATTATTATTTATTTGCTTATTTCATTTATTTATTTTATTTATTTATTTATTTTATTTATTTATTTTATTTATTTATTTTATTTATTTATTTTTATTTATTTATTTTTATTTATTTATTTTTATTTAATTATTTTTATTTATTTTTATTTATTTTTTCTTATAAATGAATAAGATAATTATTATAATACGATTAATTTAATAATTATTATAATTATAATAAGATAATTGTTTTAATTTGCTTATTTATTTATTTATTTATCGTGAATCTACTCAACATACATTATAATGTTGCGTAAATTTCCAATAAATAAATCCTCACACAAAAAAATCACTGTAAAAAAATTATTACATATTCAATATGCTCGATGATATTAAGTATTCTGTTAGATAAATATTTTAATAATTATTTTTAGAACTATCTAAGTAGCATTTCCCCCTACTGATATAGAATACTGATAAGCTGCAAGATATGCTGCTATAAAATTTACAGCGTAAAGTGATTAAAACGTGCAATCTTTCATAAAAACATTAAAAATTATGGCTATATTTCATTTATAAGATTGAATAAATTATTTCAATTAATGATATTGTACTTACTTGGAAATAAATCCAAAGCAAATATAGTTAAACGTGAGAATACCACTTCTTATGTTTATGCTATTTCTTTGTATATTTATTATTTTAGTGAAATATTTCATATAATGTCATCGAGATTTTTTTAAACACTTCACGTTGCGTTACCTTTAAATTAGAATTTCGCTGCTTTTTTGAATATAATGAAAAATTACAGAAATTTCTCTAAAACAAAGATAACTTCAAAAGGATTTGTCCTTCTTTTCGCATTCTTAAGTTCAGCATATTTCTGATGCGCGAAATTTTTTTTTCAGTAATACAAAACATATTTTATTATTTAAATAATCTAGTAATAAAAAAGGATTTATCGAAAATAAAAGATATTATAATAATGTAATATTTTTAAACATTTTAGGTTACTTTCCTGCACGTTTTGTGCTTTCATTTCTACTTTTCTGGGCGATGGTTTTAGAGTATGCCCACAGGGTATGTTTAAGTGTGACCATTGTTGCAATGGTCAACCAATCTGCATTTGACCTTCCCAACAGCACGTTGGACACAGATGATACGTGTGGATTACCTGATAACGTTAATGCTACATCACCAGAAGAACAGGTATTATCCCATATCATGAATTCCTTCTAGACTAGAAATTCAGTACTTGTAAAATATAAAGTAAACTGGTCTTTATTTTGATTGATTAATTTTTAAACTTATGACAATTTGCATTGACATTAGAATTTAGCTTAAGCCTATGTATAAACCGTTTTGTTTGTTAACATTATTAAGCAAGTGTAATTTTATCCAAAGTACAACATGTCTTTTATAAAATACAATACTAAAAGAAGACAAAAAAAAATTTTAATTCTAAACAGATAAAACTTCTTTAATAAAAACGCGCTTAAGAGCAGCAGTAATTTCAAATAAAGAGCAAATGTAGCAATAAAGGAAACGAAGGAAATAAAAACAAAAATATGACCACCGAAGTCGACGTCTTCAGGGGATACCGGCCCAGGTAGCTATTAAACAAAACCTTTTCTATTGAGGGAGAGGCAAATGCCTAAAGTAACTCCCTCAGTACCCCGAAGGATTTGTATCGAAGTCCTGGAAAAACATGAAATACATAGAACCAATTTAGAAAAGAAACTCAAACAAAATCATCAGAAAATAAAAACTCACTTTAACCCGATCAAACAGCGATTTCATAAGCAAACCGAATGAAAAGGAAACACCAAAACTAAAGAAAACAACGCCCTCTATTACAATGTGCAGATTGAAAAAAAGAAGTCAAATACAATACAATAAGAAATACAATACAATAAAATACAATAAGAGTTTTAAATAATAGATCTCTGAAGGATTACAATTATTAAAAAAAATTAATTGCCAACGTAAACATGCGTAAAACATGCGTAAGCAAATATGACTTAACTTTTTTTGTCAAATACTTTAAGAAAAAATAATATGTTAAACGATAATAACTGAAACAATAACTACATGAGCTCCAAAAAAATATTATTTACAAATCTTCGTAGCTGATAAAAAAATTCTATTGATAGATAAAATTTTACACAGTTTAAATATTTAATAAACTAGATAAAAGAATTAAGAAAAACTGATAAAATGTAGACAATTTTTTCCTTAATTATAATTGATATTTAAGAAGAGAACATAAGAAACAAAATTATTAAAAACAGTGCGTAGTTTTAACTTTTTATTTAACGGAAAACAAATTCAACGAAAACCGCCATTTTAAAATTTAAAACAAAATATGAGCCAACATTAAAACATACATAAGATGTGATTGCAATTTTTGTTTAAATACTTACGAAAAAGTATTATACTAATAATTAACTAAAAATGTAATTATTAAAGCCCTTTAAAAATATTCTTTGTAAATTGGTTTCGCTTATTAAAAGTTCTATTGATAGTTAAAATTTCAATTAGTTTAAGTAATTAATAAATTAACTAAATGAATTAACGAATACCACAAATTTACATTTATACACTTTTTTTCCTTAATTTTAATTAATATTTGAGAAGTGAACATCAGAAACAAAATCTTTAAAAACAATGCGTAGCTTAAATTCCTTAATAAACAAAAAAAATTTAGTGAAAACCGCCATTTTAAAATACATCCACTTAGAAAATTTCCTAAACTTTTAACTTTTTGAAGTGATTTTCAAACAAACTAAGCATTTCAAAACAGTTTTAAAAGACTTACGTAGTTTTCCAAGGTTACTTTGAGTATCAGTTGTCCGATATTATCTAAATGTAGTAAATATAGCCGAGTTAAATATATTAAACTATCACTGATTATAACTGAATTTAAATATCAATTCTTAACGATTCACTTATCTTCATCAAAAATAGAATTCGCGATCGCAACGAACTATAGGGGGCGTTGTTGTATGAGACTAATACCTGCGATTTCTATATGAAGTCATTCATTTACTCTAGAGACGTCTTTAATGTAGCATTGCAACGTTCCTTCTTTATCGTGGCTAATTAAATTTAAAAAAGAAAAATGTTTAATATCCTTTCTTATGCAAACGAAAACAAAATGGTATCTCTTTTTTTTAGAGAAGGAACATCCAAAACACATCGGAAAAATATTTGCACATAAATAGAAAAAAATATGTATATTCTTATAAGAGTTAAAACCTAATGCCCGAGAAATAGTTTTACTAAATTTAATGATGTAACATGAAAGGTCTATTTAAACTTTACATTCCATAGTTTTAAGAATCATATTACTTCAAAAATTAAAATGAACAAAAAGTATACATAAGCCTCATAATTTTATGAAATTTAATTTTGTAAACAAAGTTTTTTGACAACAATTTTTATCAAAAAATTTCAAGTTTCAATAAAAATCATTATTTAGAAACTAAGAAACGTAAAATAAAGAATGCTGACGAAACAAAAACAAAAAAACAATTCTTTTTTGTCGCCATTTTTAGTGCTACGAAAATTCGTCTTTGGGATTTGCCAAAAACAAAACAAGATGCAATTTTATTTTTTCAGGAGCGAAATATTCTGCCCATTGTCCACCGAAATCCGATAAACTACTTAGATTTTAAATAAAGTGTTTCATTTTATGATTTGACACAAAAATTTTAGGTGTAGATAGGCGGCACTTAAAAACCGCCAAATCTGTAGCTGCTGTGGCGTTAATACATAAGTACCGAATTTTTATTCATACTTTTCTGAATCATATTACTTGAAACATTAGAATATGCAAGAAGTATACATAAACACATAATGTTATACCATTTATGTTTTCAAAAAAAGTATTTTGACAACTATTTTTATCCAAAAATTATAAACTATAAAATGGAAAATAAAGAATTCTTTGGATAAAAAACGATTTTAAGAATTCTTTACATTGAAATAAAAATTTTCATACTGTTTCCTTTCTTATTATTCTTATAGTTCTTTATCAGACGTAAAAAACCATTCTGTAGAGAACTATCATCAAATAAGAGAAAAAAAATTTACAAGCTAATTTTTTATTATAAAACTCATAACACTTACCTTCTTTATAAATCCGCAGAGTTCCAAATGAAATATTCTTCGTTTGAAAGTTTTATTTTCAAATAATATGTACATAGATTATCCCTTTATTACTTTTAAATAACGTACCACACATCAAAATTTTATAATTGTAAGATCTCGATATGAATTTGAATATGTAGCTTTAAAACAGAACAGCTGAATTCTAGTTGAAATTATCTATTCTTTCAAAACTAAAAAATACTTACCAAGAAAACGACAAAAAATTTATTAATCATCAGCACAAATGACACTATTTCAAGTAATTTGGTTGATTCTTTAACGTTTTCCGAATTATATAGATACAGAAATATATACTGTTCTATAACAAAGAAGAATATTCTATAACTATTGCAGTTCTTGAAGTTCTAAATTCACATTTATTTATTGGAATGACGAAAGCAATGTTGACTTCATTTTAATTTGTAATGAATTGAAGACAGAAAAAATTATTTTACCATAATATACACATCTGTAACAGCAAGTGATCATCAAATTGCAAGTTATGTTGTTGGTAATAGAAAGGTAAAAATTATGGAGAAATTGTTCTTCAAATGCTTGGCGTGTTCTGCTTCAATGTTTGGCTTGTTCTTGTTAGTTTTTCAAGTTCTTCAGCTTTTCCTTAGGGAAATTTTAATTTTTATTTGCTGCTAAGAAAATGGCGTCCGTCATGGACAAGGATTTTGATGGAACTAAATGAAAACGTGATAAATTAATGTCTGATATTTACAGGCTCCCGCTAGATGGCGTACTCGAGCGTTGCGATAGCGAATAGCTTAATACTACAATATTTTTGAGGAAGCGATCGTTTTCGTTCATTTTGAAAGAAAAAGAAAACGATATTTGAAAGGAAAACAAAGCAACAAAATATTCACCGCTTTCTTGAACATTGTCTACTTTTTGCTAACAATTTCACTAACAAACTTTTTAGCAAAAATAGAAATAACTTAAATAAATATTTAAAATAAAATCAATTGGGTATAATATGAAAAAAACACAACTACTTCGATTTAGTAGGAACAACATATGACGCAATGCTAAACGAATGGAATTTAGTTGTTGTTTATTTAGTTATTGTTATTAGTAGTTGTTGTTATGTTTTAGTTGTTTTTGTTTATTTAGTTGTATTTAGTTTCAATAACTTTTCTTTATAATGCAATAAAATCTGGCGAGCAGCTATTTAAACGATCGAACACTTCGTTTGTTTATTTGTGGCTTGAAGTTAGGCTCGCAGAAAATGCCGTTCATGGGTTAAATTTAGTAGGAACAACACAACCTGTGACGTAAGCTATATTATACCCAATTATAGGAATAACTAAAATAAAATCAATTCAAAATGATTCAATAATCGTAGGCGAAATCAAATTGAGACATTCGCCTTCTTTTAATTTGGAAAGCAGGAAAAAAAAATTTAAAAAATTTAAAAAATCGTGATCGCCTAAAGGTGATTACACATTTCCCATTGGCAAAATGATTGTTGTCTAGTTTCAGTTAAACTGTAATAGGATCCAGTTTGAACTGTAGGTTAGAATTTCTGATTCTTAATCAAAACAATAAAAACAAAAATATCGTTCAAATTATAAAATTCTCTTTTATTTACAACTCAAGAAGTATTTATGGGACCTCTCTGGTCCCATATCTCAAAAATGAACTCCCCAACTTAATGCATAACTAAATTAAAAGTGCTAAGAGAATTCTAAAAAAAGCGGTTGCCATAGCAACGCATGCAATGACGTCCCAATAAGGTGCGCACGCCACCAAACCCGAAACAACACCCATTTTGTCAATAAGTAAAGTAAAGTAAAAAAAAAAAAAAAAAAAAAAAAAAAAAAAAAAAAAAAAAAAAAAAACGAATTTTAAATCAATTTGAAATCAAGCTATCAAACGATTCAAAAACGATAATTTTAAACAAAAAAAAAGGATTTTCATTTTTGTAGTATTATTAATCGATCCAATTTAAGTATCATATTTTATTTCTTGAATAACAGGGTGACTACATCTGGAGTCCATCTATACAAGGTGTCATTTTGGGAGCTTACTTTTATGGATATGTTTGTACGCAAGCAGTTGGTGGCAGACTCTCTGAAATGGCCGGTGGCAAATGGCCACTTGGACTCTCCATCTTGCTGGCTTCACTACTCACTCTTGTTACTCCAGTTGCCGCTGATATAGGAGTCCTCGCTATTATATTCCTTCGCCTTGTAATGGGACTTGTGCATGTTAGTACAGATATTAATTATTATATTTTGTTTATTTAGAGAGAAAACGTGTTAAGTGACTTTTCTGTTAGTTTTATAAAACCCACTGTAAAATGCAAAGAAACAGCTGGAACTGTTTACAAAACACGCTTTCCTCTAAAAGCCCTCCTATCCGATCACTTGTTGAAGGAAAATATTAATGTATTATACTAACACTTGACCATTACTTATCTATAAATTGGAATATTTTGATTTATTCTGGAAATTTAAGTATTTTATATAATGTTGTTTAACATATTATTTGTTGTTGTTGTTGATTTACGTCGTACTAGAGCTGCACAATGGGCTATTGGTGACGGTCTGGGAGGCATCCCTGAGGATGATCCGAAGACATGCCATCACAATTTTGATCCTCTGCAGAGGGGATGGCACCCCCGCTTCGGTAGCCCGACGACCTGCACGCGAAGTCGACCACTTTACGGTAGCACAGTTTAACGAGAACCCATATCGCACACCCTTGGTCCCTACGCAGACTGATCCAAGTGGGTCACCCACCCGCACACTGACCGCAGCCAGTGATGCTTGACTTCGGTGATCTGATGAGAACCGTGTTTTAACGATCAGTCCACTGTGGGACAACATATTATTTAACTGTTTAAACATTGGTATGAAATATTTCGTTCTTATAAAGTTTATGCAGTTTGTTCCGTAATTCGCACATTCAATGTATATTTATGGATTTGGAGTTCAAAATGAAGTTAAAAAATTATGCACCTTTGGTTCATATATTTATATAAAAGACAAAGTGTTGCCTGATGGCAACACTTTTTTGGAATCCTTATCATAAATATTTTTGGAATTTTTTGGAATCCTTATCATAAATCAAAACCAAAATTAAATCAAAAAAGCGTGCATATGTGCACACAAAAGTACAAATTAATATTTTATCGAGGACAGAACAAAGACGATATCAATACTGGGCAAATCACTGGTGAGGCAAACTGAGCTGAAAACATTAAAACCTGTTTGATTGATCGCAAAAAACAGAGCACTCGTAAAGCGATTCTTCGAAATACTCTTTCAAGTTTCATCAATTAATCAAACTGGTTTTGATGTTTTTCAGCCAACCTTTCTCAACTTTCATACGACATATTTTTATAACGTTTTTATTTCGTATGAGCTTAAATATCAATTTGAATTTTCTGTGCGCACTTTTTTGACCTAACTTTAAACAAAAATTCACAAAATCACATATTAAAGGAGATCATTACTTTTACACCTTGCATAAGCGAATAAAAAACAAAAATATTTTCAAACTCAGACAAATTACTATTTAGAAAAGCAGAATTAAAATGATCAAAACCAGCTTTATTGTTTCTTTTTATTTATTTTCTCGTAATTTCCTTACCCTTTATTTCGGATAATCGGAAATTTACGATTTGCACATTTATTAATTTATAATAAATAGTTTAATTTTTTATTACAGGGTATTTGTTTGCCAACTGCTTTTGCCATGTTCGCTCTGTGGGCACCACTTGAAGAACGAAGCACTCTCATATCACTTTGTGTAATGGGAGATCATGTAGGAACAATACTATCTATGCCGCTTGCTGGATATTTGTGCGAAAATGGCTTTTCGGGAGGATGGCCTTCCGTGTATTACATCCTTGGTAAGTGCATTATCTCAGTTGCTGTTTGTTTTTCCTCCTGCTGAAGTATGAAAGCAAACTGTAATAAGCTTCGTTTTACAGATTTTAAAACGGCTTTGCTTTAACTATGCGCGCCAACTTTTGGCTGAGTAGCGAAACGGCTAACATCATTGTGGCTTCTAGATGCAGGATAAAACGAAAAGCTTTAAGTTCCTATATAAGTGCTAACTTTTTTCAAGAACTTAATTATAGCCAGACCTGGGGCAACACCTCCTAGAAGAAAACCCTTGCATGAATAAATTTAGTAGTTTGATACAACGAACATAAACTGCGCAGTGGGGGAAATACGAAATATGTCAATGAGTTCGGACTACTAAAAGGTTGAATTTCTCGTTTATAGTAACCCGTGCAGAAGCCATTTATTTTCCTGTAGGTGTTTCCTGGAGCCGGGGTAGCTCACCGGATAGAACGTTTGCCTGCCAATTAGGTGTCCCGTGTTCGAATCCCAGTTCTGCTCCCGACCCACACCGATCATAGTTCTTACGTAAAATATCCTCAATGATAGACGGATCATGAGTGTTAGAATTCCTCTGCCGTCGCTCTAACCGTGGAAGTTTTCGTGCTTTTCCTCGTCATGCTACGCAAACGCTGGTTAGTTCCATCAGAAATTCCTCCTTGAAGTATAGTTTATTCCAATGCTTGATCCAGGAGTTCCCTTGTATTCTGGATTGGGTTCAAAATTACAAGGCTACGGAGTTGAACAGTGCTAGTCTAAAACAACGCCTATTATAAAATTATAAAATATAGCCCGACCTGCGATTGCTTGTTTTACATAATTTTTCACTATAATGCAATGAGCTGAAAAAATCGGTAGTTTATTCCTTGTTTTTTGAACTTATGGCAAACTTAGGCTACATTTATAAAACTAACTTAAATGTATCAGATTAAACTAATTTATATGGTTAATTTAGATATTTCAGATCTGTTAAATATTCAATAATACAGCCGAGCACGTTATTAACTAGAACTTAGGACATGAAATATTCGCTCGTTAAATCAGGGTACTGGTTAAACCCGAGTCGATCGAATTATCAAAACTAATACAGATACAACACAAAAATGAAAAAAATGAAAAAAAGGCTACCATTTATTAATTTTTGTTTGTACTAAAGCTGTATGAGCTTTATGCGAGACTTACTTTTGTGCTTTAACTCAGAAATTGCTCGAAGTACTACACACATGATGCAAAGTGCGATAAAAACCAGAACACCCTGAATAACTTTTGATATAATGATCGGATTTTCACGTACTAGGATTTAATCTTAATGGTTCATGAGGATGACCTCAAGTAGGTGGATTACTTATTACAGACAATATTTTAAGTTACGAAATCAGACACAAAGGCATACTTTCTCTGAATAAACACAGCGTATTATCGACGGATTATGATTTCTGACTCCAAAAATATCAGTAATCGAAATCTTAGAGATATGGTTCAGATAGTATGGTTTAGGAGAGCAGTCGAGAGTTTGGGCCCCTTACTATTAATTTTACTTTTTGTGTATTTCTCGAGAATTTTTTAAGCTAATTGAAATATCCTTGCGCACAATTTTGGAATTCATTTATCCGAAGATAAATCTATGCAAAATAATAAGTTTCAATGAATAAATAAAACTATGTTACGATAATAACTTTGATGTTTTGCAAACTTCAGGAAAATTATTTCAGGGAAGTCGTAATAAAAAAAGTATCAGGCTGTTCTTGAAAATTTCCCTATCTTCGAAAGTTCTTAACCCCTCCCTTCAGTTCAAATTGGTCAAAAATCGTTCGTAGATAAAGAATGAAGCATATCAACGTGAGGCTTCTTATGTGAGGACATTTCGTGAGCTGCAGGCTTCATTGAAATTTCCTCACTAAATGCAGAATTTTTCGTTAACACAAACGCAACTCAGAAACTACTCCACCAATTAAAATATTAGTTGAGAAATTTTATTTATTAATAATTTACGGATATAGTAACTGAAAATGCAGCGTGACTGTTTAAAAACACTCAGTTTCTCAGGTTCGGTGTCATTGCTAAAGCGGAACACAAACTTAACCATGAAATATTTTTAAAAAAAGCAGTTACCGATGTGAAAAAGGTTTTATAAGATCATTTTGATATTTCTACACATTCTAAGTCAGATGCTTCTTTGTTAGTTTATTTATTTAAATAATTTTAAAAAGTGTCGTAAAATGTTCTTCGAAATTCCTTAGATGTAAACTATTGATTTTATCGCTAACTTTGAACTTTATTTACATAGGCATACTTGGTATGCACTAAGCTCCTTAGTTGTAAATGCTTAATTTTATTATTGTTATCTCGGTATAATTTGTATATATCTATGTATATTGTATATCTACAATATGTACATTGCTCCATGTTCCCACGACAAATCAATACCTCTGGGGGTACTGATCCAGGAGTTTCCTTGTCTTCTGGATTGGTTCAAAATTACAAGGCTACGGAGTTGAACGTAAGTAGTCGTAAACCCATGAAATTGGGTCGACTGTTCAACGACGGTTATAAAATACAATAAAATGAAATATGTACATTGTTCAGGGGATAGAGCGTTCGCTTTCCAATGAGGTGAAAAGGGGTTCGATCCCGGCGATGGCTGGTCGATACGAATCCCGCATCCGGCTTGCACCGATCACAGTGCTGACGTGAAATATCATCAGTGGTAGACGAATCATGGGTTAGAGTCCCCTTGCCGTCAGGCTTACCGTGGGAGGTTCTCGTGCTCTTCCTCTCCATGTAACGCAAATGCGGGTTAGTTCTATCGAAAAGTCCTTCACGAAAGCAAATTTCACCCAATATTTGATCCAGAAGTTCCCTTGTCTTCTGGATTGGGTTCAAAATTACAAGGATATGGAATTGAACATTAGTACTTGTAAACCCAAAATTTGGGCCGGCTGTTCAACGATGGTTATGAAATAAAATAAAATATGTATATTGTATAATTTTATTATTCTTATCTATAAACTTTTCTCTACAGGTATACTTGGTTGTGTTTGGTTCATATTTTGGACCTGCTTAGCTTATAGCACACCGTCAGATCATCCACGGATATCAAAAAGAGAACTAGAGTACATTGGAAGAGGTAATATTCAGATGAACATTGATCAAAAGGTACTTTTCTGAATAGGTGTAAAAATATATAATAAGGCTGATTTGATCTGCATTTGTTGGATTTTAAATTTGTTTTATGTTTCAGTTACCTATTCCTTGGCAAGACATTATGAGCAGCTTACCAGTTTGGACTTTAACGTTTTGTATATTCACCTCATCTTGGGGCTTCACAACGTTGTTAACAAAGTTACCTACTTATTTGGAAGTAGTCCTGCATATACCTATTCAAAAAGTAACTAAAACAAACAAACTAAATCAAACTTTTATTTATCAGTCTATTTGATATTTCTCAAACAAATTATATTTTGCAGAATGGGCTTGTAAATTCTTTAATATATGTGTGTGCCTGCATTACATTATTCATTACTGGATATGCTTCCGATTATTTAAGAACGAAGAAACATTATTCAGCAACAAAAGTGAGAAAGAGTTTTCAACTATTTGGTAAGTTTTTACTAAATAACCTTAAAATAAGAAGGTTTTATGAATTTTTGTTTATTCGCACCAAATCCTGTTAAAGTGAAGGCACAACCTGATTTCCGTGTCTAATTTAAAAATGATCATGAATATCGAAACAAGTAATTTAAGAAAAGAGGTACTAATTAGCTTTTTTAGAAAGCGCGATACATAATTTTATATAAATTTAAACATAAACATTATTTACAACAAAGAAGCACACTTAGCAGAAAAATCATTTCCCAGAGAATAAAGTATACCGCAGTTTTATGTAAAAAAAATTGCCATAGAAGCATTACAAAAATGGGCAATAGTAAAGAATGTGTCCGCCCTTAGCTGAAATGAGTCGGTGCCATCGACCTTCCATGCTGCTCATTAAGTTAGCAGCTACAGAAATAGAGAGAAGAAAGTAAACACTTAGTAACCCTAGTTCCAACTCGTGTAACAACCTTAGGAAAGGACTCAAAACATCAACTTGTCAAAATATCACATGGGTCGTTTTGGCAACGAACGTGCTGATTAGTTGGCAAAAGAAGGTACTTCCCTCCCAGCCTCTCCAAACACGGTACTCACTTACCCTGAATTATTTTCTATCCACAAATCTAAAGTCAATAAAGCTTGTCTTGTTCCACCGGATCACAATTGGTATCCCCGCAAGCGTCCTGGAGGAGCCCTTGACCTTCAGGGTACACGCGCCGACCAAACAGCTACCTGTAGATTTGTCAGTGGGCATACTAAGAGCCTCACTTTCAGTGGACAAATTAAACTTTTTCCATCTTGTAAAAAGTGAAACTCCAGCTAGGCTAGTCCTCACCATCTACTTGATTGCCTTTATTTCACCATGGAAGAGGTTCTTGAGAGACCTCTCCTTTTCCTCCATTTTTTGAAGACTCACGGCCTCATGGATCTGGTATAGCTCCGCTATCCCATCTGGAATTGGAAACAACAACTTGTCTGCTAAGGTTGTCCTAAATATTTCTACCGGATTATGTTCAGGATATTTAACTGAGATTTTTATTCCCTCCTAACTATGATTCTCAAAAGAGTCCACAGTAAACACAGCTTTATTAGGTCGAGAATAAAATTCTACCAGAGTTTTGATAGTAGTGAATAATGGATCATTCGTATCTCCCACTAGTTAGAATTTCTCAAACGCATGCAGGTCAGTGGGATCTTAGAAAGAGATCCCGACTCAAACCGTGATTCCTGAACCTCTGCAACTAAGTTTTTCGTCAGTAATGAATTGGCTGTATCTATTGCCTTGTTCTCTAAAGATCTGCAGACGCCACAAATCATTCTCTAGTATGAAACTGGATTCGTCTGTTATGATTTCAGAAGACCATTTTTGCCTCTCTAGGAAACTCTTTTTTTCTACATAATCAGGAGTGCAACTTGTCTTGCATGAAGGCTTTCATCGTGCAAACGTCTTCGTGAGTAGCGGAGATTCTTGTTCGTGATACCACAAAATGATCTACCACGAACTTATGCACAACAGTGCTTCCCCTTCTTCCGACCAAAAGAATAAAATGTACAAAATGGTTTCTGACAGATATGTAGGTTGGTTTGGAGCGTATCTTCTAGATCTACCATTCATATCTACCATTTTTTTTAATAACGGACATCGAGAAACATATTGTGTCTAAATTTTTGGAGAACGTTGTTATTTAAAAAGCTAATTAAATTAATAAAATATATCTAAAATATATCTTATAATAAGAGCGAATCTCTTAAAACTGGTTTCATGTTAAAATAAGTGCGTCAAATTTTCTGAAACTGTGCAAATGTTTTCCAAAAATAATCAACGAATGTCTTTAAATGTGAATTTTTTTACCAAAACATGAAACTTCTACAGTCCATGTTAAAGAAGCAATAGAGCGGACACTTCGTGAATTTTTTCAAATTTTTTAAAAAAGGCGAATCTCTTAAAACCGGTTTTATGTTAAAATATGGGGGACAAATTTTCGGAAAATGCTTGCATTTGTCCAAAAGTGCTCATAGAATGTCTTTAAATGCGATTTGCTTTTACCCGAACATGATATGTCCACATGAAAGAAGCTATATAGATGATATATAGCTTCTATAGATATATAGATGTATAGATAGAAGCTATATAGATGAAGCGGACACTTCGTGAAGTTTTTTAAATTTTTCGAAAGGAGCGAATTTCTTAAAACTTGTTTCATATTAAAATATGTGCGTCAAATTTTCGGAAAATGCTTACATTTGTCCAAAAGTGCTCAGATAATGTCTTTAAATGAGATTTTTCTTTTACCAAAGCATGATATTTCCACAGTCCATATTAAATGTTTATATTGTTGCTTAATTGCTCATTCTTTACTTATTCTATTGCTAATGTGGTTCCTTATTCTATTATAACAATTTTTATTTTTTTTATCTCTAAGCTTATTTTCATAATTGTTTTTTTTTCTGAAGCGGGATTTTTATAGTATTCTTATGAGTAACTTTTTTGGTTTGTTCCTCATTAAATTAATTCATTCGAGTAATAAGCATATTTTGTTAAATTGCAAATGCGTAAGAGTATACCTGGATTTTAAAATATCATTTGTTTAATATTATACCTCATTGGTAAGAAAATTAAGTATATTAGATACTTTTTATCAATGTTTTTGCATTGCAAACGAACTAAAAGAAAGTTATTATGTTAATCTTAATTATTTATTTCTTAAGCATTGTAATTGAATTTGTTAACAAGGAACAATTTTTTGTCAACAGGGCACATTTTTTTTTTTTTAAATTTGTTGTTTGAATCTATTGTATATCTGAAGCTGTATCTATTATATGTAACTCCTTTGGCAGTTTAATGAGTGAAAAATGCTGGTAACTAATTGATGACAGTTATGATCTATTATTAGAAGATTATATACAAAAATATTATTAACAGTAAGAAATAAAAACTACAAAAAAGAATTATATTGCATCATCGGGCGCTGTCAGTACTTGGGAAGGTAACCCCTTGAGAACACCGGGTCCCCTTTGGCATATCTTTTGTGTACCTATAGAGTCGTGGTTTCCCAGGTTCGAAACCTGGTTGGTACAGAAAGCATAAATAAGTATTATTTTGAGCCGTGGAAAGTTTTCGTGGCTTTCCTCTGCATGTAACGCAAATCATGCCATCAAAAAGTCCTCTACGAAGGCAAATTTCTCCCAATACTTGATCCAAGAGTTCCCTTTTCTTCTGGATTGGGTCCAAAATTACAATGCTACTGAGTTGAACACTAGTAGTCGTAAACCCAAAAAATTAGGTCGGTTCTTCAACGATTGTTATAAATTAGATATTTATTTATCCACTGTGGCTCCATAAATACATTCCCAATGAGCCCTCTAATGAGGTGTCCAGGATTCGAATCCTAGCAAGGGGAGGTTGATACGAATTCCACACCCAGCTCGCATCGACCACAGTGCTGACGTAAAATTTGCTCAGAGAAAGACGAGTCATGGGTTAGAGTCCCCTTGCCATCAGGTTTACCGTTGGAGGTTCTTGTGAATTTCCTCTCCGTGTAACGCAAAGCGGGTTAATTCCTTTAAAATGTCCTCCACGAAGGCAAATTTCTCACAACACTTGATCCAGGAGCTCCCTTGTCTTCTGAATCAGGTTCAAAATTAGAAGGCTACGGAATTGATCATTGGTAGTCATAAGCTCAAAATTGAGTTGGCTGTTCAGCGACGGCTATGAAATTAGATATTTATGTGATAGTAACACGGTTTATAATTTGTTTCCAGGAATGATGGGTCCAGCAATGTGTATGGCTTTGATACCTTTAATGGGGTGTAACAAAGGAATGGTCATACTCCTCTTGACTGCTGCTATGGGCTTTCAAGGGTTTGCTGGTGGTGGTTATATGTCTATTACAGCTGACATGGCTCCTCACCACTCTGGTAATCAAAATTATTTGGCGTGGAATAGCTAAGTCTTTACCTTGCATTCATTTACCACTTTGATAATTACATTTATAACTTATTAATACCCTAATTTTGCAAATTACATTTATAGCTTATTAGTACCCTAATTTTGCAAGTTAGTAATTTCATGTTTAATTGACTGATACATTTATTTAACAAGATAGATAATCACATTAATTTTTCCATCTTGATTATTACATTATTAACTAATTACTGCATAAATTTAACTTTCTTGATAATTGTATTTTTAACTTACTAATACATTAATTTTTAGAGCTTGATGAATATATTATTAGCCTATTAGTAGATAATTGCATTAATCCGACTGATAATTGCATTAATTTTTTAATCTTGACTATTAACGCATTAATTTTACAGACTTTTTTGTTATTCTGAAATTATTTAATAATGAATGAATTTTTCAGGATATACAGATAGGGTAAACAAACCAGTGAAGGAACACTACCCAGTGAAGGAGCATTTCATATATATTGATTAAAAATAAGAATTTGAAGGGTTTTTTTTAGATTGATTGGTAACAATAGCTTACTGCCAAACAATAGGAAGTCATCTAGCAATATTTTGGATTACCTGGTCAAATAGACTTCTCTGGAAAAAAATTTGAATCTGTTATTATCTCTGCAACACCTTGTTTCGTAGAAAAAATTATAAGGTGAATGTTTGTATTTATGTGTTTGAAGTGGAATTAATTGCATGTAGTAGTTTTATTTTTCTCACTGTGAAAAAGAGAATTCAAAATATAGTTATTGAAGTTACGTTTTATTTTTTTTAAAGCACCATAGCATAATCAAGTACTGAGATAAGGGGGTGTTTATTCACTGGATCACCAAACGATGAAAAACCAGTGAAGGAACAAGTGTTCCTTTACTGGGTTTTTCTCCCAGTTAATGAAAATAAAAGAAATTTTTTAATTTTCTTGTACTTTTAGTCATATTATACATCAAAATTCTGTTTAAAAGACAAAAAACAACTTCCAACCAGTGAAGGAACAGGCATGTTCCTTCACTGGATCACCAAACGATGAAAAACCAGTGAAGGAACAAATGTTTCTTTACTGGGTTCATTTCTCAGTTAATGAAAATAAAAGAAATTTCGTAATTTTCTTGTACTTTTAGTCATATTATACATCAAAATTCTGTTTAAAAGACAAAAACCAGCTTCTAACCAGTGAAGAAACAGGCATATTCCTACACTGGGAATACTTCCAGTGAATGAACAGTAATGTGTGATATATGATTTTACATGACTCTAGGATAAGTAATTCTGCTATATAGAGGACAACCGAAATTTTGTTAAAAATTGTATGAATAATTCCTGAAATAATTTCAGTTCAAAATGTTAATTTAATAGCTTAATTTATGAAAAAATTATAATTTATATTTATTAACGGGGTGTGTAGTTACATCAAATGTTAGGCAACTTAATAAACTATGTTTACAAATCGAAAACTAATTAAATATAATCATAAAAATAGAACATTTTTTCGCTGGCTTTTGCACCAAGAACTCCTAATAAGCTATCATTATAGGATAGCAACGTGATTATATAATTTATAGAAACTACTTTACAATGTTAGAATTTAGAAGTAAGTTCCTCAACAAAAAACAAAGTTAAACAGAAACGATACTCAATTTCTTCAGAAGCTTGAGAGGGAAATCCCTCAAGATATGTTGTAAATTTTTAACACAGCATTGACGGAAGAGTCTAATATCGAAAATGTCCAAGAGCCTGTACTTTTTCCAATATGGAAGAAGCACGTATTAAAAGAAGACCACTTGGTTAAGTCAAACTTAGGAACTGAAGCTAGTATTGATAATGAATGCATATTAGATATCGAATTTGAAATGAGTCCTCATGCTGATTCTCTTAGTTGAAAAAAGAAATGATTCTGTAAGTAAAATCAGTACTTCTAAAGATCCTCTAGATATAAGTCAACAAGAGATGGATTTGCCTCAAACTTCAAGACACCTTTCCCCCGTCTATTTTCGAGAAAGGCATTCTAGAAATGTTGCTGAAAAATCAGAAGAAGTTTGGAAGAACCATTTACATTGGCCAAATATTGATGATAAAAAGAAAGGTCAAATAAGAAGAAAAACGAATAAATTACCTTTTGCACTAACTTCAGAGAAATGGCAAAAATTTCAAGAGGCTGAAAGATCTAAAAAACATTAAAACAAGAGAACATGGAAAAGAAAAAGAAAGAAAAAATACTTAAAAAAGAAAAAAAGCTTCAAGAAATAAGAGGAAAAAGAGTAAACAAAAAGGTGATAAAATAATAATGATAATAAACAGCATCGGATGACACAATGATTTAGATTTGACTGTCAAATTATAAGAAAGAATGTTTTTTTTTATTTATTTTGTATTTAACATCACTTTAATTTCTAGTTCATGATTACAGAAAAAAGTTAGCATTTTACAAGTACTTGTATGTAATAATTTCACAAACAGTCTTGTTTTTATATATTTGTATGGCTTAAAAATTCATAAAGAGCATTAAAAAATAACCAAAATTAAGTGTTCCTTTACTGGGCTATTTTGTGTTCCTTCACTGGTAAGAGCTGTTCCTTCACTGGGTCTTCTTACTACTTGTTATTTGAACCTCCAAAACTTTAAAACAATATTATGTAAGTTCTCTACAATTTTTTTGCATAGTTTGCAATTAGTAACAAATATATTGACACTGTCATTTAACTGAAATTACGAATTTTGAAATTAATATGATTTTTTAAAAGGCAAGAGAAGCTTAAGTGTTCCTTCAATGGTTAGTTTACCCTATATATATACGTTGAAAATGATAATTTTATTCGTTCAAAAATATTAATTTTGTACCATAAATAATGGTTAGAGTTTGAAAAAACTCATGCTTAATTATTTTAAAAATAAAATTTCTGCATTAAACAAAACATATAATAGTAAAAATGCTGGGGGCTTTTAAAAAAAAGCAGCTATGTAATTCAGTTATAAATCAAAACATTTTCATATAATAACATGGTTTTGTATTTTTTTTAAATAAAATCATTTTAATTGCAGCAACTCTTTTTGGTATTGTGAATGGTATTGGTTGCACAGCCGGTATATTTTCTCCTATGGTCGCAGGCCTCCTTTTGGAGGAAGCAGTAAGTATATCTTAAATACCATATACAGATAAGGCAGCGTCTCATAAAAGACGGTAATTTTGATATTTTGTCTATACTTGGTGCGCTTGGTGATTACCCTTAATATATATTTTTAAAATCCTGTTTAAAAATGATGTCAAAACTTCTGTACAGTGCGCAAAATTAAAAACGGACCACCCAGAATAACTTTTGATCTATTGATCAAAAGATTATTTTTGCATAATTCACTGATTTCGAGATCATTTTAAGAGAATTTAAAAAATGCTGCACACAATTATAAAATTCGTTTATCCAAAGACAACTCCAAGCAAATTATAAATTTTAGCAAATATTAATTACTTTTTATTAGTGTCTTTACTAGTAGTTGAAAACATTTTGAATTGAAACATTGAAACATTTTGTAAGGCATACGAATTTTTACATCATTTTAAGAAACATAATTTTAAAAGACAAAACGCAAAATTTGAGCAAAATTGGCTAAAGAGTTCACGAGAAATCGAATCATGGGAATACGACTTTTTCGAAGTTCTTTTTCTCAGGAACTATTCGACCGATTTTGCACAAATTTTGTATTTTGCTAGTTAAAACTATATTCTTTAAAACTATCTAATGATCGGATCTTCACGTTCTAGGATTCAATCTTAGTAACAAAAGGGGGTGACCTCAAATATGTTAATAAATGCCGATGATATTTTAAGTTACGAAACCAGGCACAGGAAACGGACTTTCTCTGAATAAACATGGCATTCGACGAATTCGGATTTTTGAAAGAGCTTTTTGATTGAGAAAAATTGGTCGAATAGTTCATGAGAAATTGCATCATGAGACGATTTCTTCAAAATTCTAAGACTCAGGAACTATTTGATTGATTTCATTCAAATTTTGTATATTGCTGTTTAAAACTGCATTCATTAAAATGGTGTAAAAATTTGTATACCTTACAATTTGAAATTTTACCGACTATTATTAAACAAATTAATAAAAAATAATAAATGTTTACTAAACGTTATAATTTGCATGGAGTTGTCAATAGATAAACGAATTTTATAATTGTGTGTAACAAAGTTTCAATTCGCTTAAAAAGTTCTCTAGACCAGTGAATTATGCAAAAAGTAAAATTAGCAATAGAGGACTCAAATTTTCGACTAGACCACTCTCCTGATCAAACTATCGGGACTATTTCCCAGATTGCAGCTGCCCCCTATATTTTGGGGGTCAGAAATCCATATCCGTTGAATAAATAGTATGTTTATTCAGAGAAAGTACGTTTTTGTGTCTGATTTCGTAATTTAAAATATCATCTGCACTAACTAATTATCATATTTCAGGTTACCCTATCGAACCATTAAGATTGAGGGAAAATCTGGTCATTAGTTAAAAAGTTATTTAGGGTGGTCTTTCTTTTCTCACTGTACGTTAGTGATCGCAAATTGATAAAGTAGGACAAGAAACGATATAAACTGTAGAAATGGAGAATAAAAACTTCAAAATTGATTGCCTGAGAAAACAAAATAATTAGAAGGTGGTGATTATTAGAAACATCTCCAAGTTTCATTCAACAATCAATTTTTGACGTTTCAATCTCTGCTTCCTATATTTTGGAAGTCAGATATCATGATCCGTTGAAAAATATGTATGTCTAAAACATGTATGGTTCAAAGAAAACGCAATTTTGTGTCTGATTTCGTAACCAAAATAATTTTTCTGCGTTAATTAATTAGTATATTTTAGGTCACCTCCTTCCAAACTATTAAGATTGAGTCATAGTACGTGAAAATCCGATCACTAAACTAAAAATTATTTAGGGTGCTTCGGTTTTTTTTTTTGCGTGCAATTGCATAAATAATTTATTTAGTTTCAATAATCTATTTTTAACCTGACTTTTAGTGAAAGGGTTTTACCGAATCAAATCGCTAGAAATATTCAAATTTTAAAAATAAGAAAAATTGACTGGAATTTGTAAGTTTCGTCCTCTTGCTGCATTTAAGTCATCTTTTAATTATTTTACAATATGTGATTCGTCCTCCTCCCTAACCGTAACTAAAAAAGGGTAAAATAACTGCTCAAGGGCTGCAAGTTAAACGCGAAGTGGGGGAGTTAATAAGTTACATGTAGGTCCTGCTTTAGAATTTTTGAATTAAGAACGGTTGCTTGTCATTGTCGAGTTTTGAAAAAAATTCAATTAATTAATATTATGACTTGTATTTGATTATGATATAAATACTTCACAGTGAATTAATGCTTTTTTTCCCTTCTATCTAGCACTCAAGTATTCATCAATGGGGCATTGTCTTTTACATATCATCTGGACTCTACGTTGTCGGTGGAATCGCCTTCCTCTTATTTGCATCAGCAGAGAGACAACCTTGGGCATATGTACCTGTGACTGACGACTTTTCGAATACGAAATACATCAAAATTAAACAGGACCTAGAAAACAGCAGCAAATATGGCACGCTTTCTTGATCAGAATAACAGTTATTAAATGGGATATCTATCTTGATCTAGAAAACAACATTATATATGTCCATCTAGATCTGAACGACAACATTAAATATGCAACCATATATTGTGATATGGACAGCATTAGAAGTGGTGCTTGTCTTGGTCTTTCAAAACAACAGTGAAAAATATGAAACCTTATCCTGATCCATACCTTAATCTGAACAACAGCATTAAATATGGTACCCTTCTTGGTCTGGACAACAGGGTTAGATTGAAACCTTATCTTGATCCATATCTTGGTCAGACAACTGCCTTAAATATGACGTCATACCTTCGGCAGGAATTTCAGGATAAATATGGCGCCTAGTTTGTTCAAAACTGCGTCTTAATTATGAAACTTTATCCTGATCACTTATTGATTTTGACATCCACACTAAATATGGCGCCATAAATTGATCTAGGCAGCGTTAAATATGCTGCATATTTCATTCTAGACAATAACACTACATGCAAATGAGAAGTCTTATCTTGATCTGGAAAACAGCATTAAATATGGTGCCATACATTGATCTCTACAACATCATGAAATAAGGCACCATTCCTTGATTATTTTGACACATATTTTAATTTTTTTAGAGCTTAATTCATGACTTTTAATGAAATTAATCACGAACTCTGTTAATTCATTATTAATATTTTCCCTCATCTTCAGTTACAGTAAATCGATCTTATTTTACAATGTATATATTAGTGTGTATATAGCTTGTATATTTTTCATATCTTTTATTTATTAAATTGTTTTACTCTTGCCTTACAATTGTGTCATAAATTTATTTAATTTATTATCCAAAATACATATTTTTTTTAATCTATAGATAATCAAAGCTGTTGTTTGAAACGAATTGGAAATTTAATAAGAACCGATTATAATTTTATGTAAATAAAATTATGATTATAAAATTTTAATATTCAGAAAAATTATGAAAACTCAAATTTGCATCATTTTCTATAAACTCATAAAATAAATTTTAAGTTATACATTCACACAAGAAAAAGTACAGGAAAATAAATTTTATTTTAAATGTCTATTCGTAGTGTGTCAAGATTTGAAAACCGAAATTAACATAAACAAATTAATAATCTGAAGTACTAAACAACATATACAAACGGTAAATATCATAAATGAAAAAATTTGAAATGATTTAAATAGAAAATTGTAAAATTGATTCTTTAATACAGAAATGTTACATTAATTTCTAAAAAAAACTCTTTGAATTTTAAAGTGAAATGTTTAGAAGAGCAACGGCATGAATAATAACAAACTTTTTATTTATTCACTAATTGATGAAATTTATTGATTTAAAATTTGCTTAAATTTTAAATATTTAAAAATGTTTACAAACAGTTTTAGATCTTTAAACAGGTAAATCACTGTGGTAGTCTTGAATTCAGTTCCTGATATTAGATCACAGATTTAAAAAGAAAGAGGTTCGGAATTTTTGGTTTCGAAAACCTAATAAACGAATATAACTACTTAGTTTCGACATTTTTATTTTTCACTTCATAATTTTTAATCAAAAAAATAAAATTTGGTTTTCTTTTTTCGTCATGACTGTAAAAGGCTAAAAGCCCTTGGTCAAAAAAAAAAATTATATAACTGACAATGTTTTACTTGTTTTGGAGTGGTTTTTCTTGAGATTTTAATTTTAAAAGGATGAGATTTGATTTTTGATTTTAAGTCTAAAACAATCTTAAGATTCCCTGTTTTAAAAAATCCAATAAGAAGATATAACTACTCATTTTCCATACGCTTAATTATGAACTTTATAATCTTTAATAAATAATTTAATTTAGTTCTTTATTTTGGGACTCGGCTAAAAATAGAGTTTACGAACCCTTTAACTAAAAAATCCCAAGAGTAACTATTTATTTTCGATATGTTTATTTGACCTTATACTTTCTGATGAAAAATAATATTCGGTTTTTTTAATTTACAGCTAAGAGAAATTAAAAGCCTCTAGTCTAGAAAACTCAATAAATAACTACCGATTTTTGATCTGTTTATTACGGGCCATCTAATTTTTTATATAAAAAAATTTAAATCGTTAATAATTATTGCTGATTTGTTAATTGAACTTCTTAAAAAGTTTAAATGTCAATACGAAAAGCACGTAACTAGTTTTATAAAAAAAACTTTAAATTAAATATTTTTTAATAGTTTTTGAGTTAAGTAATAAAATTATAAAAATAATTAATTAGAAATAATTACTTAAAAATACAGAAGTTTTCGCGCATATGAGACGAAGGAATTACAGCTCAAATGTATGAAAATTCAAAATTAAGAACTCAAACTTGACTCAGTTTTGCTGCATGATGATAAACTATGGTTTTAGATTATATGTGATAGAACACATGTTTTAAGAATAAGAAACCCGAAGCTCGTGAAAGGCGTTTATCCCAACAAAGCATATTTATGCTTAATTATGTAAATTTATCAACTAATAATTGTAGTCAAACACTTAGAGTAAAATTAATGATGAAGTTGGAAATATGACGTATAAATTTGTCGATCAACCAACAAAAATTTAGGCATTTGTACTAAGTTAAGAAAACTTTAAAATAGACATGCGATCAAAAAGCAAGCAGGCAAATTATGAGTATTTAAATAGTGCATCGCGTTTTGCTTGATTTTTCTTTTCTTAATTTCATTTCTCATGTTGTCCTTTGTTCATTTTTCATTAAAATGGAGTTATGAAATCATACATAAATTTGAATTTTTAGGACTAAATAAGTTAAATATACAAATGTCAATTAAATTGATTTGAAACAAATATTATAATTATTAATGTATATGAAATAAAAATCTTAAAATTGCTTCGAATAGAATCTATGTAGTATTACATATGAAAAATAAATAACAATTGTAAAGTTTTGATAACGCAGGAAATTACGAGAAAGTTAACTAATTTCTTTTATCACTTCAATGAAAAATGATTCATAAAAGCAAAAAACACTTTTCAATGTAATTATTGCAGCCCCGTGTCCTTAATTTGGCTCTCATAGCTTATTTTATTTTATTTATAACCGACATTGAACAGCCAACCTAATTCTGAGTTTACGACTAGCAATGTTCAACTCCGTAGCCTTGTAATTTTGAACTCTACCCAGAAGACGAAGGAACTTTTGGATCAAGCATAGGGACAAACTATGTGAACTACGGTTCACATCTATGCGTAGGGGTGAACCAGGAGCAGAATTCGTATCAACCACCCACCTCTGGGATTCGAACTTGGAAAGTGAAATCTCTATCTCCTGAGCCACCACGGTTCTCTCGTAGCTAATTGGAATTTATATATACATACTTTAACTATATTTATTGAAAATATTACCAGATACTCTACGAGTTAAGGGCTTTTTTGTATCAGAAACGCCTTAAGTTGTGCATTTAGTTAATAATCGAATAAACTTTTGTCAGGTTTCTGTAATTCTTCCTCATTTACGCTGCCTTTTGACATAATAAAACAAGCTACTAATCTTATCAACTTTTGCTTTAGATTTTTCATCTGATAAAAAAAGGAATGATTTAAAGCGTGCTATCAAGATAAATTCTACAGAAGGATAAAAATACATTCATTTCTAATTTTTCTTTCTTGAATGAACTGCAAACAAATACTATATTAATTTAAACTACTCGCGAAGTAATGACTGAGTTGACGGAGCCATCACAAAAATGTAAGTCACGCAAATTTAATAGATTTTAGCAGCACACAAAAAAAGAAAATGTTAGAAATTGTTCACAAATTAACGAATATTACATTGACTACAGTATTTTTATAAAAGGAAATACTTATTTGCAAAGTGCTATATTCCCATTTATAAATGTTTATGATTTATGCTTTAAAATAAAAATTCTCATCACTTATTTCGAAATGAAACATACATTTTAACATTTCTCATCAAGTGAACTTGTGGTCAAAATCTTACCATTTCTTATTCTGGAGAAATACGGCACAAATGAACCTAAGTACACTAAGTCTATTGACTTTAGCTACAGCATTTTTAGTTTACTTCTCATTTAAATTTTATCATTTTTAATTCCATTTAAATTTTATTCAGTAAGTTTAAATTTTATCCATTTTTATCCATTATTCCATTCAAATTTTATCAATTTTTATGGAAAGCAGTACACACGTGTTAAATTGTATCAACAAAATTTCCACATTACTAATTTTTATAAAATATGCTAAATTTAGGCATTGCATTTTCAATGTTATTACCTAAGTGCCTAATACTTTCCAATTAAATTTTAGAATTTCTAATTTTAATTAAATGCTGAGTACACGTACTTAAAACTTCTCAGCATAATATCGTAGCATTTCTATAAAATTTCTCGCCACTGTGAAGTACTATGGGTACAGGGATCTGGGGGAAATCTCCTTCCCCTTCAGATCTATGTCTAAATTGAGGAAGTGACCTCATAAATGAGTAGTGCCATCTGCCATGCTCTCTTGTCAAAGAAAGGCGCGCCTTCCTGACTTAATTCGCAAAAGGCCAATGGATGGCGAGATTGGTTTATGTATATATATATATGNAATTGTATCCTTTAAAATCGCATCAAAGTTAACAATTCAAAATTATTTCGACTTTTAAATAAATAAATAAAGATTATTAAAAACCGGAAAGCAAAATTATGTTGCTTTTCGGTTTCTTATTAATAATTTTTTATAAATAATTTTTTTTTAATATTTTTAACAATTTTTTTTCTTCTTCTCCTTTCATTAATCTTTATTGTATTATTTCCCATCCTTTCTTTTTAAAATATTTAATCAATCAAAACGCTAAAATTTTTAAATCGTTCAATTTTAATTTTAAAATCATTATTGAAGTTATGTTATTTTGTGGAAAAATGCTATCTACATGTACATAAAATACTTTTTATTTATTTCAGGTTACCTACCTACCCGCTTTGTGCTTTCTTTTTTGGTCTTCTGGGCCACGGTTTTATTGTACGCTCATAAAGTTTGTTTAAGTGTGACAATTGTAGCGATGGTCAATCAATCTGCATTTGAACAACCGAACAAAACATTCGAGTCAGATAATACGTGTGGAGTATCCGACGATGACAATAGTACTCCCCCAGAGAAACAGGTATTTTAAGTTCACATAAAAAACTTATTTACATATAAATTTTGCGCATATAGTTTCAGGATTTTGAGCTTTTTTAATTTTATTTTAAAAATCAATCAATTTGATTACAAAATTGATTCATGAAGTTATTTTAATAACCAGTCTGTACTTGTTTTAATAATCTGTTACAATACACCACTCATTCACTAATTCTTTGTTTTCATAATACGTTGATTCACTAATTTGCTGATCGCCACGGAAGGTGCCGGAAGTTTTGATTATTTAACGGTACCTGTGAACACAAATCACGGAAGTGACCATCATCCTCCACGTCTTCATAGGACGAGACACATTCACACATCACACACCAGAGGGCAGCATACAAAGGGAAACATCTATGCCCAGAGTGGTATTTGAATTTGCATGCATTGTCTTCGCAGCCAGGCACGCTGGCCACTCGGTTGCTTGGCTGAGTGGTCAGCGTGCCAGAAGAAAAAATTTGCCCTCTTCCAATATGTTTTTGTCTTTTATTCACTCGCTATATCAAGAATCACTATAGGATTGGTTTCCATAACAATCCTTAATGATATGTCATCTGAATTGCAGCTAAGAAATATTGAAAATTACCATGCAAAAATTTTTAAAAATTGCCTTGCTTAAAATAGAGTAATTAGAAGAGGGTCATCATAGTAACGGAATATTTCGTATTGCGTCAGTTCACGCAATTAAATGACGCTGACTAAGAGATGTTGTTAATTCAAGTTAACATTTTCGCTAGCAAGACTAGCATAGGTTTATAAGCATGTAAAAAATTATTCGTGAAAATCACTAGTATTTTTTTTAGCTATAGACACATAGACTCTATTTTTCCACACTTATTTCACGAGCATAGTTTAGCCTATACCTAAATGTTGAAACAATTATAAAAAGTTTGATTTTTTAACCTTTGTTCACATTTTGAAGTACAGATTTAAATAAGTATATATGAGACCTAGTTAGTTATTTAGCAATTAAAAATTGATCCTAAATAGAGACGAAAGGAAAGATGCACTTATCACTAAAATATCGGGAAATATTGTAACCCCAGTCTTCGTTTCTATATCTTAATGATGAAAGTTATAATTGGCATTATATGAAAAAACTTCCTTAACAGGGCAACTATATGTGGAGTCCATATACTCAAGGTGTTATTTTAGGAGCCTACTTCTATGGATACATTTTCACGCAAGTATTTGGAGGCAGACTCTCTGAAATGGCCGGTGGCAAATGGCCACTTGGACTCTCTATTTTAATTGCATCTCTACTCACGTTGGTCACTCCATTTGCAGCAGATGTAGGAGTCCTTGCAATTGTAATCCTCCGGGTGGTAATGGGACTCGTACATGTGAGTATTGTTAGGCAACCTTACGGCAAACCTTGCGTTTTCATTTTCATTCGGTTAGCAAAGAAAAGTTAACTAATTAATGTTTCTTTAAAACTCTCTAAAATATTAATTCTAATTGTTTCGCATTGTAAGTAATTTAATCAAAATAAAACAATGAATTCTTACAATGAATTAAAGATTCTTACATAAATTTATATTAGACTTTACACAGAGAGTCGGTATGTCCTATTCCAACAACATTAAATTAACCTATTCTAACAACATAACAAAAAAAAATTTACTTGAAATTTTTCGTGTAGATTTAGTTTACCCTTATTCATTATTACCACTTTTGCTTATTTTGAAAAATTGTTCGCAGAATAATACCGAAAAAATACCGTTTTATGGTACATTAGCAACAGTATAAAAATTATTGCATTAATTATCTTCTCCCCAGTATATATTTATGCATAATTAATATGCAGGGAAAATTAATATAAAGCCTCGGAGCTTTCGTTTAAAAGCTAAATTTACCTTCTTTTATTTTGTAAAAACTCAAAAACAATACATTATATGAAAGGCAGTCTATCTAATGCCTTAAAAAACGGTAAAAAGACTCAAAACTGATTTTTTGAAAGTTTTGACACAATCGTCACTTATTTAGTTTCTTTATCTCGAATGTAAATCGCGCATGTTTATTTAGAAACCAACACTACCGAACTTTATCAAAGATTATGAATATGCTTTTTTAAACAACGTTCGTTTTCAAAAATCAGCACTTTTTGTACCTCTTGAAAAAACATTTTCAGCACAGATTTGGTTCCTTGGGTAATTCATCCACTTTTCCTTCGAGGTTAATATCTTCCTTACCTGTACTATGCATGATTCTTTATCGCCTTACGAGATCATCGCCAACAAAACCAATTATTTTTATTTTTTGAAATGCCGGATGCTATTTAGGCAAAGTATGAAATGATCGTCCTGATGAGGTTATCATGTAAATGATGTGCACGTTACTGTGAATGACCGAAATCGGTGGTTGTTGACTTTCACCGGTGAATGTTGACAATCAAATTAGTCGCTTTGGTGAATGTCTGAAATATTTATTACATCCGATTTGATATTAATTTATTCGAGGATATAATTACATTTATTCGATATTTTAATACTTACTGACGATAGATTAGAACAAACA